TCCCTTTCCCCTTTAACTTTGTATGTGACACATTAAATGTATTCATGTCATCAAAATAGCCACAAAACTTTTAACTCGAATCAGCATCAACTCTGCAGTCTCCGGTTTATTAATTTAAATATTATTTAAGCAGATTTGAATGAGAGCCACTCCAAATTTCTCTCCAGTTGTGGACTTATGAAACGAAGCCATTTGTTTCCAATGGACAGTGATGTTTTCATTTTTTTATTAGCCCACATCTGCAGTATGTAATGATCACATTCCTCTCAGGCTGTTTGTACAAGTATGTAACACATCTTAATTCTTTTTTCATTTCCATTCCCTCCCCTCCTCCATTTCTTGGTCCCCTTTCTTTTTGGCAACCATTGAAAAGGCAGAAGATAGACATTCTGATTCCAAAAGGAGAAATAGGAAAGAAAGAACAAACGAAAGTTCCAAAATATATCCAGAATCTAGCAAGGAAAATCTTTAACATGATGTATTTCATCCCACTTAGCACATTAAATGCCAGAAAAATTCTCTTTGCTTAAATGTCCCGCAGTTCTGTCTTTCACGGAAGGCTGTGTAACCTCCATCATGCAATGGGGTGCTATCACATTACTGTTGTGTCGTGATTGCTATAGCTTCAGGACAGGGCCACCCAAAGGATCTAAGAGCCACCAGTTCCATTTCTTTTGCTGGAGACCATCTGCCACACTGGAAACTCAGTGTGATCCTAGTGACTTACCTACATGGACGTTCTTTTTAACTGAAGTATACCTCAAATTCAAAGCTGATATTTTTATCATTCTGTCCTGTGGAACATATGAAATCTGACAACCTTGTTATGTTCTGTCCTCACTTCTTCCCCTCCCGCTCAAACTGGCAGCTTGCTGGATTGACTCATTATATCTGAATTCACTTCTATATACAATGCCTTACAATTACAGCCTTAATAATCAATCCAGAACTTTCTCATTTAATGCTCTATGGATTGGCTGAGAACCTTTCACATCTGTAAGATCTGGGTCCCATTAGTTTAACAATTTCTCTTTCCATTAATCTCTCCCTTCGCACCTTTTACTGTAAGCCCTAAGGAAGAACAAAGATTTTTCATGATTTCACTTAGAAATCTTCTCAAATAAATATTCTATTCCATCATTTGCAAGTTCCAACTTCCATAAAACAATAGAACATACACCCAGTTCAGCCGAGTTTTTGATACTTTGTGAGGAGGACCACTTTTGATTCTACTGTGCATTAGCATGTAAGCTTTTAAGCTTTTAATTCCTGGACTTGGGAGGCTAAGGCAAGAAGTTCATGAGGCCAGCCTAGGTGAGGGCAAGACCTGGTCTCAAAGAAGAAGAAGAAGGAGGGGGGGGAG